CTGCCTGTACATCTCGCCAGTGCGAGTGTTAGAAGTCCGAGAAAAATCTGCATTCAGGTTCCTCTTGGTAGGCATGTCTCGCACTCTTGGTTGTTCATGATGCATGCGTGGCCCATCTCCTGTCCGAGAACTGCTCATACTATTGTTGCTACTTGCAGCACCACTACCTGATCCTTCCTTTCCCTGGTTGTTTCTTCCCGGTGATGCTCTAAGCCAGCCCCCCCACTGTGCAGCGGAGTCGATAGGTGGCTTGCACACTCCCCCCGCATGGACAAGCCTTCCACATTCGAAACAAAAATGAGGGATCTTCTCATAATGGAAATCAAACCAGGTTTTCTCCACATCCTCTTTGAACTTTTTTAGATAGAATCCACGGACCAAAGGCTCATGCACAGAAATTGTAGTTCTGACTCTCAGCTGCGTCCCTCTCGCAAAGCCCTCCTTGTCCACATCAACTCTCACCGTCTCTCCTAGCCAGTTTCCCAAAGCTGTTCCAAAGACCTCTGTTCTCCTGTCCGGTGGCAAATCTGTTACCCTGACCCAGATATCAATTTTGTCAAAAACCATCTCTGATGGTCTCTTGTCTCCCTCATAATCCTTCATGATCAAAACTGAAAAATCATACTGCCAGGGCCCGTTGTTCAACACATGTTTCCAGTCCCCTTCGCTTCCGAAGTGTACCTCGATAATATTGGGTCCAATCTCCATGAATCGGGCTTCTCGGTGCAGGCCCCATGCTCTTATCATTGTCCTTTCTAGCACTATCCTATTCATTGGTCTTGCTGAACATACCTTGCCCACCGCAGCCCACCTATGGCGTTTCTGAACTACAGGATCTGGATCTTCGAATATGAAGCCCTCTACCTCCTTGTCCATCAGCACCATACTTCCCATCCTTGCCGACAGACTTGCAGCCGGATCCGGTGTCTTGCTCTCAACCGGGGATTTGGTGGATCCCCTGCTAGCCGAACCCTTCTCTTCCCGCGCCGGCGGTGTAGCCGCTGCCGCAGTTGAGATTGGAGTCTTTTTCCCCGGAGTCGCTGCCGCTTTCCCATCTGCTGTCCCCGCCATCAGCACCGCTCCACAGCAGAGATCACAGTTTCGCCGACCAGAGTCGAGGGGAGCGCCGTCGCCGCCCAAGTCCCTGCCGGAGTCAAGCCACCCCCGTCAGAACGAAACCCTAACCCTAGCGTAGAAGCGCAATCGCCTTGCGATCGCCCTCTACCGCCTTAGCGCTTCGTTGCGTGGTGGACCCCCTACTGCAGGATGAAATTATGTAAACATTCTGCTACTTGATGGCCTGAAAATACCTGATAACAACTAAAGTATAGAAAATGCAGTAGCAAACATATTAAAATAATAAAATAAAGTACCTAAATCTACAATTAGTGTCGAAAACGCTCTTACATTATGGGATGGAGGGAGTAGATAACAAGTACCGAAAATGAAAACCTTAGATGTGAATGCTCACCCCCCCCACCGCGTCGCCTCCTCTGGCGACTCGGGGGCAACCCTACTGTGCCGCCGCCGGCTCCCTCTTCCTCCTCCCCTGCTTCGCCGCCGCCGGAGCGGACGCGGGCTAAGCCGCACGTGCCCCAGGGATGGCGGCGGCGGGGCTCTCGTGGCGCCTCTCATCGCGCTGGATTTGGTGGGCGGCTGGCGTCTGATCCGTGCCGGCTGCTCCTCGTCGCGGTGGCTCGGGTGGACGATGGCGCCTGTGGCTGCGTCGCGCGGCGCGAGCTGCTTCGTGGTGGGCGCTGCCGGCGGATCTGGAACGCTCCGCGCGAGGTGACAGCGTCGGGCACGCGATGCCGGCCTCCTGTGCTATGGTGGTCCGTGCAGCGGCGTCCTTCCTGTGGCCCCGCCCCTGATGGTTCTGGGCCAGCTGCTGCTCGTGTTGGGGTGGATCTGGAGGCTTGTTGGTGGTGCGTTCCGCTGGACTGGCTGAATCCAGCTGGATCGGCCCGTGGTCGTCTGGCTTGGGGCAGAGGAGGGTGGTGGTGAGTGGTGCTGGTGGAGGTGGAGGGGTGGTGGCGGTGCTGCTGCAGCCGATGATCTCACTGCTTTCTGTTGGAGAGGCGGGCGCTTCGGTTTTGGTCTCCGACGGGTGTGCGGTGGCGCGCGTGGGGCGTGTCGGCGCACCTGATGTATGGCTGCAGCCCGGACCATGGTGGTTCCTGGCCTCGGGGCAGTGCTCCTCTGCTCCTTGCCGGCATGGTGCTCGAAAGGGGATGGTGGCCTGCGCTCGGGCGACTGTTGATGGATCTGGCGCCTAGTGCTGACGTTTGGTTGTCGGTGATCTCCGCACGGTGCGGTTGGCTCCGGCGGCTTGTCGTGCTTCTTCGTCTTTTGAAGGGCTCGATGGTGGTGGTGGTGGTCGGCTGTCGTCTTATTGTAGGGATGTGCTCAAACTCCGGGTGAGAACCCTGCACCGACTAAGTCGATGCCGGCGGCAACGGCGTCTATGGATGTCGTTTTCCTTGCAGGAGGTGCCGTTGTGGAGCTCTAGCACCTACAATACTTTGCTTTGTGGTTTCCGGGTGAAAACCTAAGATCGGGCTTGCTGGATTGGATGGCGGTGTTGTGTCCTTGACAACACTACCTCCTTGGAGGCGTCATCTTGGAGACCCAAACGACGGCTTCAGTTGCTGCGGCTGGTTGAGGGTGGTTCGCGTGGTGGTGGTCGTGTGGCCTGCTCAGGACCGACGGTGGTGTGTTCTTCTTCAGGTGTTTCTCTTCGGCTGTCCTACGTGTGGTCTCCGGCCTGCTACTTTGCATGCTCATGACCCTGTTCTGGTGAGGCGAGCCTCGGGCTCTTGGTCTCGTCTTGGTTCATCTTTGCTCAATGACGACGCAATGACGCCTCCCCGACTTGCTAATCGTCTTGAACTTCCGTGGCGGAGCTCCTAGTCAAGGTTCGTGTTAGGCGTTGGCACTCGTTGATTCTGGATGCTCCTCTGTTGTGCCGTGGGGCTTGATACGCACGCCGGCTCGGTGCGTTTGGCTGCTTGTAGAGTCTTGGTATTGTGATCCCTCGACGCACCCCTCATCTACCTGGTCCTGTTAGTTTGCTAGCTAGGTCTTGCCTTATGTTGGGCGTCATGTTCCTCTCCTTTTCTTGTAACACTTGTTACTTGTCTGGTTTTCGGCTCGGTTTTCCTCGTAAACGGGGTCAATTTGTTAAGGTTTTCGATCCGGTTTTCCTTATAAACTGGATCACTCTCCTGGCATTATGACCACTCTGAGTAATATATTCAGGTGGAGGGACTCCTCCCCCGGTGATTCTCAAAAAAAAAAAACCCTTAGGTGTCAAAATCCTTAATACATCAGAGGATGTGAGGTAAGGCCAGAAGCGACAGTAACCCTTGTGTAACATAGTGGAGGCAAGACATAGAGGTGTAGTGTGTACGAGCCAATTATTGAGGCAAAATCATGGACCACACAGTTTTTAACACACACACAATTATTGAGCCAATATTTTGTAGAGTGGTTTGGTCCTTGGCGTTGTATTTCAACTTCAACAGTTTATGGCTCCATCAAGCCTGGAACGGATTGTCCAACATCATGTGGGAACATCACCATCCCGTTCCCCTTTGGCACAAAGCTAGGCTGCTTTGCAGCTGTCCATCTCTACTTAGCATGTATGCCAGGGACCCTTCTTCCTGTCCTTGAATTGACTAGTGGAATGGTCGTAAGTGACATATCTCTTGATGATGGTGTCTTGCACATTCGTGAGGAATCTGAGCCAGACGGTTTCTTCTCTGGTTCGGGCTCAAACTCTGCGCTCTACTCCTTGTCCGGGAAATGGGGAGTGGTGAAATGGGCTGTTGACAAAATGACATGCGAACATGCAAAGATAAACAGGAGCGACTACAGATGCTTGAGCTCCCATAGCGAGTGCATCGATGTCACCGATGATGGAACACTCAGACATCTGGGTTACCGGTGCAAGTGCTCTTCTGGTTTTGAAGGAAATCCTTACATCAAGGATGGATGCACAGGTTGTTACACACACACACACACACACACACGATCTCTCACATTAACTATAGTTCAGTTATATTTGATTGGAGTGAGTAGTCCAGTACTCCAGTACACATATTCCATAGTTTCATATGGATCACCCTTCACCACTGATACTATATACTATTATGCTATTTACAGATACTAACGAGTGCCTACAGCCAGATAAATACATCTGCAATGGTATATGCCACAATAAATTCGGGAGCTATACATGCACCAGTACTGTAATATTGGGTAAGCGATTTGTACCACTTTATGGTCATTTCAGTAGTGTTTGTTTGCATTATTGCTTCCATATATATATTTGACTTAAACGGAGGGTCAACCCAACCAATGCAGGTGTCAGCATTGGACTAGGCAGTGGTGGGGCAATCCTCTTTCTTGCTGCGATTGTTGCCGTTGTGACGCGGAGATGGAAGAGAAACGTCGAGAAACGTGTGAGAAAGAGGCATTTCCATAAGAATAGAGGCATTCTGCTACAACAGCTCATCTCTTCAGACAAAAGTGCCAACGACGGCACCAATATATTCTCCCTGGATGAGATGCAGAAGGCAACCAACAATTTCGAGCACACTCGTGTAGTCGGGCGCGGGGGGCATGGCACCGTCTAGGCGTCTACAAGGGCCTCCTGGCTGACCAGCGCGTTGTGGCCATCAAGAAGTCAACGCGTGTGGTGATGAGCGAGATTGACCAGTTCATCAATGAGGTGGCCATCCTTTCACAGATCAACCACCGCAACGTGGTGAAGCTCCATGGATGCTGCCTCGAGTCAGAGGTCCCCCTGCTTGTCTACGAGTTTGTCTCCAATGGCACGCTCTACGACCTCCTGCACCGCTCCTCTGGGTCGAAGCAGGACGGTGGCCTGTCGCCCTTGTCCTGGGAGGAGCGCTTGAGGGTCGCCATCGATCGCGGGCGCGCTCGCGTATCTGCACTCCGCAGCTTCCGTGTCCATCCTACACAGGGACATCAAATGCATGAACGTGCTCCTGACGGACAGCTGCACCGCCAAGGTATCAGATTTCGGTGCATCGAGGTTGATCCCGCCGGATCATACGCACCTGGTGACCGTTGTCCAGGGCACGTTCGGGTACCTGGATCCAGAGTACTACCACACCGGTATGCTCAACGAGAAAAGCGACGTTTACAGCTTCGGGGTGATCCTTGTTGAGCTCCTGACGAGAAGGAAACCCATCATCGAGAACGAGCACGGCGAGAAGCAGAACCTATCTAGCTACTTCCTGTGGGCTATGAGGGAGAGGAGACCCCTCCAAGAGACCCTGGACACACACATCTTGTTCGAGGAAGGAATCAGCGAGGAAAAGGTCCTGTGCGTGGCTCGGTTGGCGGAAGAGTGCCTCAGTCTCACGCGAGGGAACAGGCCTACCATGAAAGATGTGGAGATGAGGCTGGAGCTCTTAACTGGGCGCCGTGTTGCACGACTTGCTGGCCAGGAACAGGTGGCGCCACGGCCGCGCTGTGGTGGCGTTGTTCCGGTGATTGGTGACCACAGCTCACGACAGTTCAGCCAAGAGCAGGAGTTTGTGTCCTCTCTGCAAGTACCGCGCTAGTTTGTATACGCACGAGGCATATGCATACTCCTAGGGCCTCTTTGATTCATAGGATTCCGAAAACACAGGAATAGAAAAGATATATGACTGTAATGTCATGTCCATTTGAATCCTACATAATTTTTAGCTTGTTTGATTGCATCAAGGGAATGATTCTTTGCAAGAGGTTTGCACGGATGCAAGGAAATTTTCCTATAGGATTCAATCCGATGTATCAAATAAACGTCATAGAAAAAAGAGAAAAGTATGTTTTTGGTCCCTCAAGTTCCCACAAAGTATAGACTTGGTCCCTCAAGATTTTTTGGTATACATTTGGTCCCTCAAGTCTCAAAACCGTATAAGTTTGGTCCTAAACCGGATTTTGAGCATGTTGACCGGTTTTGACCGCCATAAAACTGCCCGATGAACAGTAAACTCGAATTTTAAAACAGAAACATTCAGAAAAGTCTGAAATTTTTTGGGGTCGAATATGCTTACATGCGCACGAACAAAATTTCGTGCTCTTTCGGCACTCGAGGAGCTAGTGGTAAAAAAATAAAAATATATGCCTAATGAATAGTAAATTCGAAAAAAATCAAAACAAAATCAAAAAATTCTGAAATTTTTGGGAGTCCAATATGCTTACATGTGCAAGGTGTGACCAAAATTTCAGACTTTTTGGAAGTTTTTTTTTCAAAATTACTGTTCATCGCACGGTCTTGTGACGGTCAAAACCGGTCAACGTGCTCAAAATTCGGTTTAGGATCAAACTTATCCGGTTTTGAGACTTGAGGGACCAAATGTATACCAAAAAATCTTGAGAGACCAAGTCTATACTTTGTGGAAACTTGAGGGATTTTAATCCTTCAAAATTTCTTTATGAAAATCATTTGAATTTAAGAGGCCCTTAGTTTTGAAAAGAAGTCCCATGCTTGCAACATTCAGTTCAAAAGCATCATGGAATTTTTGAACTACTTCTGCTTCGCTGCTTGCACTATAATGGCAATATGCCATTTATATTATTATTAGGGTCTATGCGGGAACTAATTCCTTCAGATTCTGGCCAAATTCCTATTAGGCTATGTCTGTTTTAACTGCACTGCATTTGTTAATTTGCTTGTTGTGTGGCTATTTGGTATCCGGCTACTGTGGTTGACAGTATGTCCCTTGGTGCACACCAATTTTCATCTCCTTTAACTAGCTCATGAAAAGAAGGTCATTCAAAGCTGGATGTCATATTCTGGATGCTTACATGGTGGTCATATAATCAATATGTGCAGCCAAACAGTACATTTTTTGAATCTCACGACCAGTTCCTTGCTACCAACGAGCCGACTCATCTTGATTGTCTTCTACCACCGGCTAAACCTCCTGATAGTGGCGAAGGATGTGAAACTATGTGCAGTCATGCTCAGTTCACCTTCAGAGGAGATATCTCTCATGAGTTTGCTAGTACAACTAAATATTTTTGCTACATCATAATTAGCAGTACACTGTGGGTATTACTGGTGACTTTGCAAACTGTGATGGGAGGCACTGATAATATGTCCAGCATCCTGAATGAGGGTCGTTCGATTGCTGAAAATTGGTTGTCAGCTATTCCGTGGGTACAACTACAACCACCTAGTTTCCGCGAAGCTAATTTGTGGTTTTTTTTGGAAAATGGGTGTAACCCCGGTCTCTGCATCAGAACGATGCATACAACCACCTTTATTAGAAGGCAAATAAGTTCAACACAAGTCATGAGGTCTTAAATAAACGAACCACAAAAATACTCATAAAGAGCAGAGAATAAAAGCCACAACCGGCAGGCAAAAGAAAGATAGGAAAACTAATTGCCTATCCTATTACATGACCGCCATCAAACCTGCTGAATATAGCCCAAGCTACCATCTCCCATCGGGTAGATCCAGTAACTAAATGCTCCCTGGCCTCCGTCTGAGTGAGTAGCGACCACATACGGATCAACGTCGTGGCTCGGAATATAACCTGCAAAAAATGAGTATTTGTTGTTCTGTTAAAAACCAAATCATTCCTGCAGTTTCAGACTGCCCAAAGTAAAGCACATACTCCTACACGAATGTGTCTCGCTGTTTGGGATTCTATCCCCTCCAGCCACGTCCCAAATAACGTGTTGATATTATTCGGAGGAGTAATATTAAACATAATGTAAACAGTCCGCCATAGAATCTTTGCCATCGGACAATCAAGAAAGAGGTGTTTGATAGTCTCATCACGATCACAAAAATTACATCTCGTGGAACCAGTCCAGTTGCGCTTTGTCAAATTGTCCTTAGTTAAAATGACTTGTTTGTGTACAAACCACATGAACACTTTAACTCTCAAAGGTACCTTGACATTCCATACATGTTTGGATGTAGGAATAGAGCCAGAATTAATCACATCTAAATACATAGATTTAACCGTGAACTCTCCATTCCTGGCTAGCTTCCAGCACAACGTGTCTGGCTGTTGAGAAAGCTGCACATCCATCAGCCTTCTCACCAAATGGATCCAGGCTTCCCAACGGGCTCCGGCAAGTGTTCTCCTAAAGTGGATATTGAGGGGAGTGGACTGAAACACGGTAGCAACGAAAGCGTCCCTTCATTGCACAATGCTATAAAGGGAGGGATATTGAAGCGCGAGAGGGGTTTCCCCTAGCCATGTATCCTCCCAGAATCTCGTGGAAGTACCGTTTCCGACTAGAAACTTTGTTCTGTTGAAAAAGGCTGCTTTAACTCTCATCATCCCTTTCCAAAAAGGTGAGTTCGTCGGCCTCACTGTCACCTGTGCCAATGTTTTCGAATGAAGGTACTTATTCCGCAGAATCTGCGTCCACGTGGCCTCCGACTCTACAGATAACTTATACAGCCACTTGCTCAGAAGACATCTGTTTTTCACCTCAAGATTTTTGATACCTAGACCCCCTTGGTCTTTCGGTCGACAAATAATATCCCATTTAGTGAGTCTATACTTCTTTTTCAGGTCATCACTCTGCCAGAAAAATCGGGATCGATAGAAATCCAGTCTTTTCTGAACTCCAACTGGTATCTCGAAAAAGGACAAAAGAAACATAGGCATGCTCGTGAGTACCAAATAATTAGAATTAGACGGCCCCCGTATGACATCAGCTTGCCCTTCGAGCAGCTCAGTTTCTTTTTGAATCGATCCCCAATACACTTCCATTCTCTATTTGTGAGCTTACAATGGTGAATTGGTATACCCAAATACGTAAAAGGTAGATTCCCAAGTCCACACCCGAACAATTGCTTGTAAGCCTCTTGTTCCTCTTTGGCTCTTCCAAAGCAGAACAATTCGCTTTTGTGAAAATTAATCTTTAACCTGGTCAATTGTTCGAATAAGCATAACACCAGCTTCATGCCAAGTCATGCTCCATGAAGATGATAGTATCATCAGCGTACTATAGGATAGACACCCCTCCATCAACTAGATGAGGTACCAGGCTACCTACTTGACCAACATCCTTTGCCCTACCTATTAGAATGGTCAACATGTCAACTACAATGTTGAATAGAATAGGTGACATCGGATCTCCTTGCCTTAGGACCTTGTGTGTCCGGAAATAATGACCGATGTTGTCATTCACTTTGATTCCAACACTCCCCTTTTGCATGAAGGATTCAACCTGGTTCCTCCAAGCCGGGTCGAAGCCTTTCATGCGCAAAGCCTGTTGCAGAAATGGCCATTTAACCTTATCATACGCTTTTCCGAAATCCACTTTGAAAACAACCCTGTCTAGCTTTTTCGTATGGATTTCATGGAGCGTTTCATGAAGGACCACAACCCCTTCTAGGATGTTTCTGTCCGACATGAAAGCAGTTTGGGTCGGCTGCACCACAGAGTGCGCAATCTCTGTGAGTCTATTATTCCCAACCTTTGTAATTTTTTTGAAACTAACATTAAGAAGACAGATAGGCCTAAACTGCTCAAGTCTCACCGCCTCTGTTTTCTTCGGGAGCAAGGTTATAGTTCCAAAATTTAAATGAAACAATTGAAGTTGTCCGAAGAATAGATCATGGAACATCAGTAACAAACCCCCTTTAATAATGTGCCAACATTTCTTATAAAACTCCGCCGGAAATCCATCCGGCCCCGGATCTTTATTATTCTTCATCTGTGAAATCGCTTCAAACACCTCTTTCTCCGAGAATGGTGCAGTTAATACATCATTCTCATCAGCAGCCAGCTGAGGCACATCCTCAATCCTCGATTCATCCAAGGACACAAAGTTATCCTTTGGAGGCCCAAACAACTGCTTGTAATAATTTGTTATGTATAATTTTAAGTTCTCCTGCCCTAAGATCGTTCCTTCGTCTTGCTCAAGATGAAAGATTATTTTCTTTCTATGCTTGCCATTGGCGATCATATGAAAGAGCTGAGTGTTAGCGTCCCCTTGGACGACTTTGCGAACCTTAGCTCGCAAAGCCCACTTCAACTCCTCTTCCTGCAATAGCTCTTTCAAACGCATCTCCGCATCTATTTTGGCATGAAGCTCCGAGGATTGCAGAATTGTGGACTCGGCTTTTACATCTAGGGACTGGATAAGTGTAAGGAGCCTTTCCTTTTCAACCTTATAGATCCCACTGAGATGCTTAACCCACCCTCGCAAGAAACTTCTCAAGTTTCTAATCTTATTCTGCCATCTCTCAATAGAAGACCTTCCTCCTGCATCTATCTCCCATTCCCTGGCTATCTGATCTAGGAAGCCCTCTCTTTCAAACCATGCAAGTTCGAAAGAGAAGGTGTTGTTATTACCCATATGCGCTGCCTCATCAGAGTCAACCAACAGAGGGGTGTGGTCAGAGATACCGCAAGATAACACTTAGACTGTAACCAGAGGGAATTTCTGTTCCCAATCGACGCTCGCTAGGACTCGATCTAGCTTCTCATACGTCGGGTTTTGCAAAGTATTAGCCCAAGTGAATTTTCTGCCTGAAAGCTCTATCTCTCTAAGATCCAAGCTTCCAATGATGGTATTAAACATAAACGACCACCTGGCA